ATCTAGCAATTTCACAAAATCATACGAATTCTTAACTGAATATTGCCAATAATTGGCAGAGTCCCTTATTGTATGCATAAAAACCGTGAGATTTTACAAAGCAAAAAAGTAGCTAGACCCAAAAAATGTCCAATTACTTATTTCCTGAAAATATAATTTTAATAGATGGGAAGCTAAAGCTAATCGGTATACTGTTTTTGACCGCATATCCATTACTTACTAAAATAGTATGCACCATAGTATGGAAAAAAATCGGAAATCTTGCAAAGCAGATTGAAAGATTCCGAAAATATTTACAATATCCCTAGTTTATATCAATACAATATATATATATATAATGAATGGCATAAATCAGATGAGAAAAATATATCATCGTTAAAATTGCCGATATGCGATAGGGCGTCGTCCGAGGGGCGAAGATAATCAATAGGGTGATTAAAAATAATGAGGTCAATGCAATGTGGGAGGTCCAATCAATAAGTGCATAGATGGACAGAAAAATTAAGTTGTCAGGGCACCAAAGTAATAGGCAATTATGAGTCAGCACAATATTATGTCGAATATCGATTTCTGATCAAATCGCCTGAATATTTGCATTACCATAATTGATTTAGTAACCGTCTAAATTAGTACCAACATTAAGGGATTTAGTAGCTCAAAAAAAAGTGAGTGCATTTGCAGATAATATTATAATAATTAATTATCATCTTCCAGGCTGCTGTAAGAGCACGGATAGCAAGTTCAATTACATTTTCCCTTTAAAAGTATGCATTCGGAAATATCATTAGATCATATGAATGAGATCTGTTCATCCTATTTCGCTGAGGGCGATGAGAGTAGTAGAATTTTCCCAAAATGATGTGAAAAGACATGACGTTTCCATTGAATTTCGCATAGCCTTGCTCTTATCCAGAGTGGACCGCAATTTCGATTTCGCCTAGTTCTTATCAACACCCCAAGCTGAATTAGAACCATGACATTGCAGCGTATGATCTCGACACATTAACCATTACGCCACAATACCATGAGTGCCCTTGGGTCAGAGGGCAGATGTGAGTTTCAAGGAAGGCCAGGCATTTTCCCATATCGCATTCTGTAGCAGGAGTGTTCACAAGGCAAAGTTGTATTTGCCATAGTAATTGACTACGTTACTTATTTTTCGTTTTATAAATAGGCTTTCGAGACTCCCATTTGATCATATATATATATATGTGATGTATTGTCTGTGAGCACGTAAATCTAATCCAAATCGTATTTGACTTATCATAGGCGTAAAATAAATGTTCAAGGGACAAAAGAAAGCTTAACAACATTTTTATCAAGGATATTAAGCAAATTGTGAAACGCCAGTCTCGAGATGACGATTTACAATATATGAAGATTAAGAAGTTCTAAAACAGCTAAGAGTTTATGAAAATATAGCTTACCAATCGGGTTTATAATATCATGACCAGCTATGGATGAGTTAAAAGAAGCTGGCATAACCTCAGTGGTGATTGAGACAGGTACTGCAGACATTGTTAACGTAGAAGGAAGTGCAGCATTAAAAGGCCCTGCTGCCCCACCAACTAAACAACTGGCCAAAACTTTCTTCTCAACTCCATCGATCATCCGACCTGGATTGGCGATCGAACAATTCCCCAAGTTCATTGCACTCTGGTCCGGATTGATTCGCGATCTGGAATCCAATAGGTCAAAGTTTTTGAGTTGAATAAGAGATCCGGCGTCAGAAACTAAAGCTGAATGTTTCTGAGGACTTGTGGTATGAAAGTCTTCGACTATAGAAAATTTATTCGAGATATAATTGCCAAAAGAAGTAGGCCTATCATCATTATCTCTATCAGCACCAACAGCCCGAAACTTTTCTTCTTCACTGCAAACGCCGTCAATCATATCACGAGAAACTAAGTCCTCATCAAGGCCGCGGTAATCCTCTTCCTCGTCATCATAGTCGTCAGTCACTTCACCTTCTTCACTTAAATCATTCTCGCGAATGATTCTTGCGAATCCAGACTGACTCCTTATAACTTTGTTTTGGGAGTCAGTATGGATTGAGTGACAGGGTACTCGGACAAAGGAATTATCAAATGGCTCTTCAGACTCTATTCTTGATTCCTTGCAAGTCTGCTTTACATTTTTCAGTTTATTCTTTTCAATCTCTCTAGCTTGGCTAGTTTCATCAGCATCCTTACGATCACTGACACATTTGTCTGAGTCCGAATAGCCTATTTCTTTCATCTTGACGCTTCCGATTTGAGTCAAGGAAGGATTTTCGACTGCGAGAGGCGAGGAGACAAGACAAAATGAGTTTGTAGACATGAGTAAACTCTGCTTTGTAGGCAACAGAGGATGTAGAGAAGACGACCCGGGCATCAGCAGAGGAATGGAAGTATGTTTTCGTAATTTTAAAAGATTTATATCCTCAGTGGACAAGGGGAATGATGAATTCATAGGCCGGGAACTTGAGTCGTCAAGAAAAGGGCTTGATAAAAAAAGGAATTAAGTTAAACTATAGGGAACATTAACGCAAAAAGTCGATGCCCTTAATGCGCACTGATAATGGACAAAAAATTTAGCCTGCTCGTTTCTGTTAAAGCCAAGATAATAAAGTCTTTTATTAACCGAAAGTGACTGTTAATTCTTGTAGCCTTACATAACAAATTCAACGATAATGAAGTGTAATTAAACAGAAGTGAATGGCCGATGCGAAAAATGCCAACTAGACAAATTAAGGCGTCGGATATTTGTCACAACATCCAACAAGACACTCAAAGAATAAAAAGAGTAAGAGCACGTTAGAGGAAGCTTCTAAGAGAAAGTTTGATATAAAATTGTAACAAAAATTAATTTATGGCAATGAAAGTTATCAGTAACCTATGAACAGTGAATGTGTGATAAATTTATAAATTAAATGAAGAAAAAGCTATAGAACATAGGAGCTGAAAATCCCAGACTTGAAATTAGCAAATGCAATAACAAATAACATGTTGGATAATGGAATCCATTAGCCTATGAATAAAAGACATTGTAGAGCTATGACATCCGGCATCGTCAGCATTGCCAGTCTGCATATTTTGATGGTTCTATATTGAAAACATCAACTGCTACAAAAGACGATAGGGCTAAGGCCATAAACCTATCCTCAATCCCTTGATTCTGAAACCATGGATCTCTTAAAGAAGGAATTACATCTTTAGCTAGGTAAATAAGGAAACGCTCTTGGTGATATTCTGGTAGAAGTTGTCTACATATCGGATAACTATCCAAAAGAGACAAAGCGGGAGATGGAAATGGAAATAATCCTACGAATCCTGACACATAAAGAACTGATATACAGGGGCAGATTGACTGGTATAGGGAAAAAAATGATCAAAAAGTTTTTCATGCAGATAAGGGAGGAGCGACGGTTAATGGACAGGAAAAATTCCACAGAGAAAATGGAAAGTATCCTAGGCGACCGGAACACTTATTATATACTAAGGAAGGATCCAACCATGAAAATCAACTGAAGATCAAGTATATGCTAAATAAAATACACAATAATGGGGAAATTGACAGATGGATGAAAAAATGGTGCAAAACCACCGACAGCCTACGGAGTACCAAAGATAACTAAGGGAGGAAATCCACTAAGATTAAGAGGCAATAAGAAGCATGGAACAACACGCAAACTATCGAAACTCATTTGCTTGAAACTTAAGAAAGTAAATGACATATTCTCGAATACCGCGAAGAATCCATATAAATTTTTCAAAGGATCCAAAACAATGGGCTGGTGGAAACGGAAGTATTGATAAGTTTCGATGTACAATCCATGTAGACAATTCTCTCAAGTTAGAAAGCGGTAAGTACCTTGCTGGATATATTGGAGCGATAAGAGGATATTCTGGAGATAGAACGGATACGAAAGAAATCTTTAACAGGACTGATCAACCTGACAGTAAGGATCACATATTTTACATTTAACGGCAGTATCTACGAGCAAATATTTGGACTACCGATGGGACTACCGACTCAACTCTCACCTCTATCGGCAAATGTGTACATGGACAAGTTGGAAAGGGAATTGGAGAAGCCACCAGTGCAAACAAGAGTGCTTATACGATACTTAGATGACTACTTTGCACTTTTCTCACATGGTGAAGAAAATCTAAATGAATTCCTCAATTTTATTAACAAACTTGATGAAAGAATTAAATTCACAATGGTGGTGGAGGAGGATGAACGACTATCCTTTCTAGATGTTGAAGACATACGCTCCAAGAGGGCACTCATGAGGAGACTATACAGAAAGAATTCCTATTAAGGAATAATCCTTAATTTTCAGTCTCATCATAACTACAGACTGAATACTGAGGAGTTTGATCATCAAAAGCTTACGACTAACGGAGAATGAGTTCTGGGACGATGAATTGGACAAACTGACACGGATTT